ATCGACGTGAATAATGCATTCCTGTACGCGTTAGTGGATGCAGTGATCTACGTGGAGCAACCGCACATACGGCGAAGGGGATTCGCGCATTTGCCAGTTGCGCAAATCCCTTTACGGGATCAAACAGGCGCCAAGGCTCTGGCAGTAGTACCCGCACAACATCCTGCTTGAAATTGGATTCAAGCAATTGCTTGAATATCCTACTCACGGTCTATGTCGACGACCTCCTTTACAGAGGATCAAGCAACGAATTGCTCGAGCAATTCGAGAAAAACCTCGCGGGGCGCGTCGACATTACCTGCAACCACGACGTGAAGCAGTTCCTCGGCCTTAACATCTCCTACTCACCATAAGCCATTCACCTCTCAGTAGCCAAGTACGTAGAGGAACTTGGCAAGTGCTTGAACATTGCACCTGCACCACTCTCCACCCCTTACCGCACTCCAGGACCCAACCACAAGCCTGACAACAAAGCCCTGTCCCCTGCTGGGCTTCAGACTTACCAGCAGCAGCTTGGATGTCTACTCTTCGCCTCTGTTACCTGCAGGCCTGATCTGTCGTATATTGCGAGCCAGCTGGCTCAGTACTCCCGCAAACCAACGGCTGAAAATCTTTCAGATCTTCAGCGAGCACTTCAATTCTTCATCTCCACGCCCAATGTCGGGATCTGCTACTCCACTATCCCAACCTCATCCTTCAATCTCGTTGGCTATGTGGACGCTGACCATGCCGCTGACCCCGACAATCGACGGTCCAGGACCGGCTTCCTCTTCCGCCTCGAGCCCAGTGGCCCCATCTTCTGGAATTCGCAGAATCAGGAGCTGGTTGCCCTGTCATCAATGGAAGCTGAATTCATCGCAACAACAGCAGCTGTTCGCGAAGGACTCTACCTCCAGGAGCTGCTGCAGGAGGCAAAAATTCCTGCCTCGGCAAATTTTCGCCTGCACTGTGACTACCAGAGCGCGATCAGGATCGCGAACAAACCTGGTTTCGTCAACCGCACCAAGCACATCGTACTACGATACTTCTTCGTCAAGGACGAAGTTGACAAGGGCAAGGTTGACCTAACCTACTGTCCGACGGGTGACATGGCAGCTGATTTCCTCACAAAGAAGCTGCCGCGTCAGCAGTATCAGCATTGCTCCGAACTCAGCGGAGTAGTCAAGCGGGTCAAGGCTCGATACGGCCAGGAGTGAAGGGGGGTGTTACGAATAGTAATTATTGAACCACTACTGTGCACTTCGTACCGCAACAATCGAGGCACGTACTAGTGAGGATGGGAAGTAACACGAAGGGACGTACAGTTACGAAACGATATGGACCGTCGGGCAGATAGCATCAGGCAGTAGCAGTGACGAGGATTCTACCCGAACGGTTTCGTAACTGTCCGGAGTCGCACGGTTAAGTTTTGCTGCAATAAGGGAATGTACCCCTTAGAGTACATGGCTAGCTAGGTCGTTTCGTATTCCCCTGTACGCAGATTTATATTCCTTGCACTTGCATGTTCTAATCATCTCAAGCATTTTACATTCACTCTGCTATTGAGGTCAAGGGCCCACCACCACTACTCAGTCTTGTGCAAACCTTCCTGAGGTGATCCTAGGGACGATCAGCTTTTGATCGCAACACATGGTACGCCACGCTGCTCAACGTCATGAAGGCCAAGAAGAAGCCCATCAACGTGTTTCTAACTCACCTGCCCCCCTTCCTCCCCTCTCACCTACCTCCTGAAACTTGTTCTCCACAATACTGATCTACGGCTGAATGAGCCACGGTACGTCACGCTCCCCAACATCATGAAGGCCAAGAAGAAGCCCATCATGAGCAGAAGGCTAAGGCGACACCAACTAACTACACGTGCAAGTACTACCACCGCTGTAGGTGTGAAGGCTACTGGTGCAAGCAGCCCAGCAGCAGCAGCATCAGCCGCAGCAGCTCCCCTCACCCTGAAGGTAGGTGCTGTTTGCGGGTCTGGAAATCCCAGACCGGCCAGCAGTGCGGCAACAAGGAGGGCCACAGCAGGAGCGACGGCAAGTGGCATTCCCAAGTGAGGGAAGGTAGCAGCCAAGTGTTGAAGTGGGAAAAAAAAAAAAAAAAAAAATTTGAAGGTAGCAGCAGGAGCAGCATCAGCAGTAGCAGATGAGATCCAGGGCGGGTTAATTAAATTGTGAAGGGACGTGGTGGGTGGTGGGTGAGATGGCATGGCTGGTGGGGGCTAGAGGAAGGTGCATGGAGGGACATACCCCTTTTTCCACCCTGCTTGCAGGGTGTTGTGGGAGAGATGGGAGGAGAATGTGGTGAGCGGGAATGGGGAAGGCACGGCATGAGGGGGAGGAGCATGCCCTTGGATCCGCTGTTGCATGGCATGAAATGGCGTTATGTCGTATCTGGCTCTTGAGATGGAATTCTGTTAAATCCGTTGCTGCTCAGCTCTTGAGTGCCCTTGCATCCGCTGCTGCACCGTGCACCTGCTAGGCTCTTGAATAGTGGCAAGTTATGGGTTATGTTCTAGGTATGTAGTTTGTAGTCATTATGCTACATCTGACGTTGCTGTTGATGTGGATTATGTGCTTATGTGTGTGAGTGGTTGGTGCAGGAAGCGGAAGGAATGGTTGGTGGTTGCATTCGTGTGGTGACGGGTGAAGAAGGGAGAAGTGACTTGATGGTTGATGCACTGATTATGTGATTCTAGGGGAATGATAATGCCGACTTGATCAACAGCCGTATTTTCTCTTGCCCCTCTCCCTCCTTGCATCTCTTGAGATATGAACAGTTTTTATGCTTGAACCAACCCAGTATTCGGTTTCTTCCATCCATTCTGATCACCACGTGCTGCTTGGAGGTATTTCATTTCACTTTTATAGCCTCCAGTTTCTTTCAACATTTCCTGCAAGAGTCATCAGCTCACGGCGCATTCACTATCTTATTCTGATTTCATCGCATTCTCATTCGTCTGCCTCTCATGCCATTCACATCACATCAGCTCGTGATGCCTTTCATTGGTTCATGCTAGTCTCATGAAGCAGGAAGAGTGGTTGAGCAGGGGTATGGAGAATGCTCATGCTCACTTGCTTTCTGTGAATCCCGTAAGTCCTTTCCCTTCAAGTTCTGCTAATGAACCTCATCAGCTGATTTCCTTTTTGGTTTACAAAACATTTCCCTCTTTGCCTTTTTCAGCACCCTTTTTACCATGCTTGCATATTCCCTCCCCTCCTTCCCCTTTTCAACAAATCAACCTTCACCACTATTCACCCTTCCACACCAGTAAGGTAGATTCTCTCAAAATCGCCCCTCGAGGCATAACAGCTCTGGTTTGAGAGAGTCTAGGGTAGGACGAACATACTTTGGCTGCACGTTTTTGTAACGTAAACCCATCTTCCCTCCTCGTCCCCACCTTTCACACATCCATGTTGCTTCCTCCAACCCTCGCTTGAGTATCTGACGATTCGCCATCACTTATGTTGTGAGCTGTTTCGTTTGTTTATTATATTTTCCCATCAACTGATGACTGACAAGTTCTTAGCCAGCATCTCATGCCTTTAGCCAGCGAATATGCTTTCACGTATCCCATGCCACAAACCACGGATGACACAAAGCCAGGATTACGCCCTCAGTTTCTCATGCCAGTTTCATCACCTTTGGATGCATTATAAAATTCTTGTCAGATTCATCAGCTCATGTCATCATGCTTTCACCTTCTCTGTTTCTTACGGCAGCCTTACCAGCAGCACATGATGTTTTACTATCTCATTTTGATTTCATCAGCCCATCATTCTCACACACCATCCGCATCAGCTCATAGTGCTTTCAGTAGCTAATGCCTTGCAATATCTTATTTTCATTTTTTTCATGCATTGAAAAGGAATTATATTTCCATTCCGTCCTTGTTGCAATACCAGTCAATGCTCATGATTCTAGTGCCTCTTCCTCTGCCTCTCACTCTGCCTCTCGCTCCGTCATTTCCAACATTCTTTCTGCTCTGTGACAACAACTTTCCTCCTTCCTACCGTTTCGCCTCCTTCCCCATCTCAACCAATCAAGCTTCAACACTTATGCTCTCCACACCCCCACCAGTTAACTTTTTTTCCGGATTCCCTCTGACTGCTCTGACTTTATGAGACTTGTGGGTAGTAGTAAGTACTTTCCTTCTTGCTCTGCAAATTTTGCTAAAATAATAATTTCTCTTCCACGGTTCTCGGCCCCATCATCTGTTTGCTCTCCATGTCACTTCCTACTCTCATCCCTCGTCGCTCCCTCATACCTCTTTCTCATCCCTCTAGCACAGTTTGCCATTACCAATGTTTCAAATAAAATGCAGCGTTGCGTAGCAGCAACATCATTTCATGGTGCCACTAACAGCGGTCCATGATGCCTCTGGAATTGCATGTCAATTTTGGTGCGAGAAGGGAAAAAAGAAGGCTGGTGGACTTGCATAACAGCAGTGGGCTTTGCTTGGCGGGGGCTAAGGAGTTTTCAGTTCAGAGGCAATCTTTCGAAGGGATACATGATCTATTAGAATGGTCCAAGTTACTAGCGGAAGCTATAGTAGTCTTAGAACCTCCTCCTAAGGCCTAGGAGCCAACTTGGGCATGAACCATGCTAGAACCGAAGGGATTTCCAAGAAGTGAAGTTCCAACAAAAGAGAACCCTAACCTATAGGGTTTGGGAGGTGGTCCACTCTAAAGAGTGTACACAAGTTCTCCCAACCCAGTCAATGTATTCTACACTACTATAATGTAGATCTACCACTACATATGTTTATTGGAGCAATCCGAATTAACCTTAATTCCAACAGGCACGCGACGGAAGGCGGAGGAGCAGAAGCAGGCGGAGGAGGCGGAGGAGGCGGAGGAGGCGGAGGAGGCAGAGAAAGAGGGGGAGAAGGGACGGATGCTCTACAAACAAAAGGAGGCTTGCTGGATCTGAACGGGAATGGAGTGCTTGTGCCGGAAATTCGCGCGTGTTTGGGTCGCATTGAAGCGAGGTTTGGCGGAGGGGGAATGGCGGTTGAGGCGATTGAAATTTGGGTGGATTCCCAGGTGGAGAGAAAGGGGTTGAGGGGTTCAGGAGCGGTGCCAAGTGGTGGAGAAGGATTGGATAAGGTGAGCGCCTCGACGGCTGTGGGTGTGGTTGACGGGGCGAGCGAAGCAGGCGAAGTCGAACGAACTCTGATTGCGGAAGCGGAGCATCTGAGGGATGCGGCGGCTGTATCCGCCACTGGCGAAAACTGGTTACCAGGTAAACTGCCGGGTCCTCTTGAGAAGCAGCAGGCGCAATCAAAGGTCGCTCTTGCTCGGGGCCTGGAGGCCTGGGCTGGTACTAACGGGGATGCTCTTAAAGGAGCGCTGCTGCAACTCTTGGAGAAGGCACGGCTGGAAGGAGGAATCCAACGGCTGGAAATCGATTCTGAGCGGAAGATCTGCGACCTGAGGGAGGAGATGGAGCGAGCGGTGAGCGGCGAGGGGAGGAAGCCGGAAACTGAGCTGGACCGGATGCTGAATCTGCTTATAACGGAGGCGGCACATAGGCAATAGCTTGAAGAGGAGATTAAAGCCGTGCAGGACCAGTGGGTGAAGAAACTCGAGGAGGCACGGGCGCAGCAGCTAGAGGAAATGGCAAGAGTGAGGAGGGAGATGGAAGAGATGAGAGAGCAATGGCAAGCGCAGCAGGCGCAAGCGAACGACGCGCTGAGGGCAGAGAAGGAAGCGGTGAGGAAACAGATGGAGCAGATGCGCGAAGAGTGGTGCGTGCAGCAGGCACAGGCAAACGAGGCTCTGATTGGTCCAATGGAGGAGATTCGCGAGGAGTGGAGAGCTACGGGCCTGGGCGGGAGGGTGAAAAGCCCGGAGGAGCGGTTGGACGGGGTGGAGAGCGGTGAGCAGGACATGGAGAGCCAGATTGTGCAGAAGGTGTCGGAAATGAGGGTAGAGGCTGGGCTGGAGGTGGATAGGGTTGAGAAGATCGTTAGTGAGAAGGTGGACGGGCTGAAACAGGAGCTAGAGGGGAAGATTGAGGGGAGTCAGCAATAGGTGGAGCAGTTGGAGGAGCTTTGGATGGGTGCGGATGTGCCTGGGATGGTTGCGCGGATTGAAACGGGGGTGAAGTGTAATAAGATTGTGATTGAAGCGGTGGATAGGCGCGTGAGGGAGCAGGCGGAGGGGCAGGAGAGGTTAATAGAGGAGGCGGAGAGGAAAGCGAAGATGGTTGAGGAGAGTGTGGAGGAGAGAGTGAGAAAGGTGGAGGAGAATGTGGGGGAGAGAGTGGGTAAGGTAGAGGAGAATGTGAAGAAAATAGAGGAGAGTGTGGGGGAGAGAGTGGGTAAGGCAGAGGAGAATGTGAAGAAAGTAGAGGAGAGTGTGGGGGAGAGAGTGAGGAAGCTAGAGGAGAGTGTGGGAGAGAGAGTGGTGAGATTGGAAGAGGGTATGGAGGAGAGGGCTAAGAGGGTAGAAGAGAGTGTGATGGCGGGAGTGAGGAACCTAGAGGAGGTGGTTAAGGAGGTGGAGAAACTTGAAGAGAAGGGCGTACAAGAGAGATTGGGAGAGGTGGCAGGTAGTGTTGAGGAACGAGTGAAAGATATTGAGGGGATAATGGAAGAGAGGGTGCAGAAAGTAGAGGAGAGTGTGGAGGAGAGAGTGAGAAAGGTAGAGGAGAGTGTGGGGAAAAGAGTGAGGAAGGTGGAGGAGGGTGTGGAGAAGGTGGGGGAAGCAGAGAATAGTTGTGAGAAGGGCGTAGAGGGAGCAGAAGCGAGTGTGGAGGAGCGAGTGAGTAGTCTGGAGGGCAGTGTGGAGGAGCGAGTGAGTAGGCTGGAGGGGAGTGTGGAGGAGAGTGTGAGGGAGCTGAAGGAGAAGGTGGACGAAGTCGAAAGGCAGGCCGCGGACGTGGGGAGAGTGGTGCTGGAGATCAGCAAGGAGGTTGCAGAGCAAGTGAGATTCTTGAAGTCTCAGCAAGGCTTATCTCTGGAGAACGATGAAGCATTGACAAAAACCGTGGAAGGATCTGTGGCAGCTGCTGCTTCTGCACAGCAGCAGATAGAGGCGGTTATTGCAGTTGTAAGGGAGGTTGCTAAAGTAGCAGCAGAACTTTCCAAATCTGTCAAATATGCCAAATCTGGCGTAGGGAGCGAGGGGGCGGAGGGTGGGGCTGGTTTGCTGGAGCAGGTGGTTCTGATTGGTCGGGAGGTGGCGAGTCCGGGAGCAGCAATAGCTGCGGGTGATAAGGAGCAAGAGGGAAGGAATGAGGAGGTTGAGTGTCTTGAGGAGGTGGTGCTGATTGGTCGAGAAGTGGTCCGGGTGGCAGCAGAAATTGCCAAGGGTGCGAAAGACCAAATTCACGGAATCAAATCTGCAGAGGAAATCAAATCTCTGATTGCAGCTGAGCTGGCAGCGGCTGGTGTGGTGCAGCAGCAGCAGCCGGAAGTAGTGGCTTTGAACGAACCTTCCAAGAAGGTGGAGCATCTGCAGGAGCCAACAGCAGCAGCAGCTTTGGGCGAACCTTCCAAGAAGGTGGAGCACCTGCAGAAGCTCCTAGAAGAGCAGCAGCACAAGGCTGACGCGGCAGCTGCTAACGTGGCATCCACGATCCAACAGCTTTCAGATAAAATCTCCACGTTGGAGCTGAAGCAGGCGCAGACCACGTCAGCAGCAGCATCAGCCGCGTCAGCAGCGTCAGCCGCTGTTGCAGTGACCCACGCTGCGTTTCCCCGTGCAGCGTCCATAGGGGCGAGTGTTCTGACCTCCCCTGGAGGCCCTAAGACGATCACAGCAGCGGCAGAGGTGGCGGCTGCAATTGTGGTGGACCGAGGGTGGGTGCAGCAGCAGCTGGCCGAGCAGGAGGTGAAGGTAAGGTGGCAAATGGGGGCTTTGCAACGAATGGCGAGTGTTGCATTGGAAAAGGCACATAAGCAGGCTGAAGAGGGCGCTGCGATTCTTGCAGCTGTCAAAGCAGCAGCAGGCGCAGCAGAAGCAGCAGGAGCAGGGGGTAGTGCAGGGGCGGAACGGGGGGCAGGGCAATGGGCAGTGGCAGGGGCAACGTCTGGATCAGAGGAAGGGGCAACTGAAGGGGAAGGGGCGGGGGCGGAGGCAGGAGAACTGGCAGCGGCAGCAGCAGTGGCGGACAGAGGGTGGGTGCAGCAGCAGCTCGCAGAGCAAGAGGTAAGGTTTGAGAGGCGCGTGCAGGGGATGCAGCGGATAGCAGAGTTTGGCGTCCAGCGGATGGGACAGCTGGCGGTGCGAGCGGCAGATTTCGACAGTATGCTGAAGCAGGTCCAGGAGGTGATGGCGGCGCTGGCTGCGCGAGTGCAGGGGGTGTTGGAGCAGCAGGTTGGGAGTAACGCGGAGATAGAAGCGCTAGTGGGGTGGAAAGCGAGGATTGAGGGGGCTTTGGAGCAGCAGGCGGGGAGAAACGCGGAGATTGATGCGCTAGTGGCACTGAAAGCGCAGATTGAGAAGGTTTTGGAGTAGCAGGCGGAGTGGAATGCGCGTGTTGATGCGATGATGAAGGAGGTGGGGGCGAAGGTGGGAGGGCTGGTGGAAGGGGAGGGTCGCTGTGTTACAGCTGTAGCTGCAGCAGAAGCTGCAGCAGTGGCAGAAACCGCAGCAGTGGCAGAAGCAGATATGGCAGCAGAGGCAGCAGCAGTGCCAGAAGCAAACGTGGCAACAACACACGCATGCTTGGGCAGGCTACAGGGAAGGGCAAGGAGGAGGAGGAGGAGCTGCAGGCCAACGGCTTCAGGGAGGTAGGTGTGGCCTCTGGGCTGGAGGTGCTCTACCTATAGACACCCTGTTACCGTGGAGCTTCGGCCAAGGCCGAACGTTTGGTGGATCTAGGATGGCCAAGCATGCCTGGACCATCCCCGACTTAAGATTGGATGAGCCCTCTACTGTTTGTGCAGATGAAGAAGATGAGGGTGTATTCAATGGGTACTAGGTGGAATTGGCATGTATCATTGTATGGCGTTTTACCTTGTAAACAAAAAAATCCGTTCATAAGAACCCCCCCTGTTTAGAAGGTAGCCCTAGACCCGTTGATACTTTTTAAAGCATATATGTCTAGTACACACCAGGCCTTATGATTCCATAAGGCCAACATCCTAGTTTCACTTTATCTGTAAAGGTATCGAAGGATAACCACTCTTTTAAATCAGGATGGAACTATTAATTAACTTTGTATGAAAATTTTACAAATCCAAGATAGCAAATTGTGGTATGCAGTTGTATCACCCATGATTCATGTGAACAACGCGGGCTTGATACCCGAGGTACCGTATTCTCTACACACCATTGCTCATTACTCTTATCGAGAAGGATCCTCACGAACTCCTTAATGACTAGTTCGATACCATCAATGTAATTTCAAGGAGTTGTTCCGTTGTGCAATGTAATATCAATATCACAACTCTTTTTCTTATAAGGGTCTAAGAAAAAAACACTATGAAACAAGAAGGGTGCATCGGCAAGCCCAGCCTTATAATAAGTGTTGTAAGGGTAAATCACACTGTTATCCTGAGGCCTAGTAGCACCCATAGGTCCCTTGTAACCATAACACTAATCTATAAAAATAAACCCAAAGTAAAGACACCATTGTCTTCAACTCGACACTACCTTCTATCTGGGCGATTACGGTCAGGGCCTCAAGTTTGGATTTTACCTACTCACGATTAGCACTGTAGACATTTTCAAAACCCTTCTGAGCAGTGTGTCTTTTTTGGTAACACTGATGGATCAATGTAACTTGAAGTTTTGAAAACTTTACCCAGAGGCATCAGTGTAGGTATATTTTTAGCCCTGATTGTACTGTAGGTGCTAGCAGCAACCAAGCTCGAGGCCCAAATTGCGCAAGATTACTAATCCTGCGCAAGGTGGGCACTGGTGGGTGGGGGTTGTTGTGAAAGTCGAGTGCAGTGGCTTGTCTGGTTTCGCTGCAACACTTGTTTTTTTCAACGAGTCAGCAAGCTTCCCGGGGGGAACATGTGTTTGGGGACCTCGATCGAGTCCCAAATTTTGGAGTCGAGGAAGTTGTAGCTTTGCAGTGAGTGCAGCTTCGACCAATCAGCTGCGAGGTCATCCAGCCGGTCATTGGCGCGCTGGTGAGGTCTCTGGAGCTGATGAACCCGGGCAGAAGGGCGAACTCTCTAGAAGACCTGCTTTTTGAGAAGGGCGGCACCACGTCAGGATTTCCAGTGATGACTTTGATTGCAACGGTTTTGCGACAGGTGTGGCTGGCCCGAATGCGATGCGGCGTGGCGGGCAGACCCGTTTGAAAGGAAAAAGGTGGGGCGCAACGCGGTGTTGGGTTTCATGACACATGCGCGAGTGGTGTTGGCAGCTGGGGCAAGGGCGGCGGCTAAGGACAAAAGTGGCAGGGGGGGCTATGACGCGTGGTCACATGTGGCGGAAGATGAGAGGAGGGCTATGCGGGAAATCTGCACGGCGGATGGGCCAACCAGGTGGTCGGATGCTTTTCTGTCCATCTGGCGCAACCCGGGGACTTTGTACCAGCCTCCGTAGAAGACGTTGGGGGGGCGCAGCATGTTACATGTCAGCATGACGCGTGCTCTCCATGTCTCCAGTTACGGCTGCGGATGTACTTATGTTTCATTAATATATCTACATCCACCAAAAAAAAAAAAAAAAAAAAAACTTCGACCAATCAGGTTGCAGTTTTTGCTTCGGGTAGGGTGCAAGCAGACACGGAGTGACGCGGTGTCGGTCGTCAGTACTCACGTGCTGCCGTTGTAGTGCATCATTACGAAATTGGGTGTACCATTACGAAATTTCGGAAAACCTTCATCTCAATAGGTAGAGTTTCCGAAGAGGAGGGGGGGGGGGGGGGGGGGGGGGGGGGGTGTTCCCTTTACGCTCTTCAGGGTAATATTCGCTAAGGGAGATTTTACCCCAGAGCATCAGTGTGGCCTAAATCATTACACTGACATATCAGTGTAACACTAATCCCCCAAAAAAATACCCAAACCCATCAGTGCAGGCCCTAAATTTCACCCTTCTAATCAGTATAGCAGTGTAAATTACACTGATAACGAGAGCCCTGTTTACGGTAATTGTGTTGTACGATATTCCCTGCGCATCCATACCCCTATCTCTAGAGCGTTTTAAGGCGGTCCTGAGGGTGTATACCTGGGAGCTATTGGTATAGGGGCTTCAACAAAAACTATCATGGTTCTAAGCAAGCGGTGGTGAACCAGATATCCAGCATCGCGAGTGTAACCACCCACGAGTAATGCGTGCTGTCAGCTGTCAAGTCAGGACGAGGAAGCGTGACGGGGGTCATTGGCACAAACCTCTTGAATCCATGGAGTGGCAGAACCCTGAAATGCGTAAAACAACACCAATAAGAGGGTAGCAAATCACCGCAGGAAGCAAGGAGATTAGTTAAAGGGCATTCAGTCCAATGAAAAGACTTTTTGTTGTGTACCACCTCACATAATCAATGAAATCATAAGGAAATTATTTATTAATATTATTGATGCAAGAAGCTGGCATTGCCACCACCTGATCAATCTTTCCTCAGCCCTCAATCATGGTTAGTCACTTGCTGTTGGAAGTGTGTGCACTAGTGTGATAATTAAGGTTCAACACGGTTTAGTTCTGAGCAATGTGAGTATGACATGAGGTGAGCAACATGATGCTAAAGCATCACCCACCACGAATCTTCCTCCTGAAGCGCCACCCACCTGGAAAATTCCTCCTGAAGCGCCACCCACCTAGAAGCTTCCTTCTCAAAGGCCATGCCACGCACGTTGTCGCTCTTGAAGAGCAGGAAGAACGGCTTTCTGTACTCTCTGGCCGCCCACGGGCCAAAGACGGTCACTCGCCGCGCGTCCTGCATGTGCTGGCGCATGCTGGGCAGCAGGTGCATGCCTGGGAGAGGCATGGGGAGCAGAGAGCACATGAGATGGCCAGGAGAGAAACATTTGGCAGCCAGCATGCATGGGCACATGAGACAGCAGTCAGGTGCGATTATGAGACAGCAGTCAGGGCGTACGACTGGGGAACGAGGAGGAGTGCTATAGCATTATAACATGAAAAGAAAAGCTCACAAGAAACTGGAGAACGAATGGAGGTGATCTGGACGCATGCGCATTGCTAGAGCACAAACATGCGCCTTGCAAGAGCAAAAGTACAGCCGTCACTGCCTCCACGCATATGTGTTTTGGCTTCATGCACGCACACGCCACTCTTCTATAGTCCAGTGGTGAGTTCATTGAGGGGAGATCATGCAGGAAGGAGCTGTAGGCGACGAGTTGGAAGGGTGTGTCTTGGCGGCTCAGCACAGCGCCTCCCAGAAGACTCGTGTTGAACATCCACGCTGGCAGCACCTCGTGCATCGACCCCATGTGTGCCACGTATGTCAGATTGAACACAAAGGCGCGGCCGTTCCTGGTGAGGTTGAACCTGGGAGGGGAAACGGGGGGTACAGCGCTCATTTAGAGTGAAACCAAAGACCTAGAATGGGACAGTAGAGAAAGAGAGCGAGGCTGTTGGCATGGTGCGTGATGCATGGTGCGTGAGGCATGGTGCGTGAGGCATGGTGCGTGATGCATGGTGCGTGATGCATGGTGCGTGAGGCATGGTGCGTGATGCATGGTGCGTGATGCATGGTGCGTGAGGCATGGTGCGTGATGCATGGTGCGTGAGGCATGGTGCGTGATGCATGGTGCGTGAGGCATGGTGCGTGAGGCATGGTGCAGGAGGCATGGTGCAGGAGGCATGGTGCAGGAGGCATGGTGCAGGAGTCATGGTGCAGGAGGCATGGTGCAGGAGGCATGGTGCAGGAGGCATGGTGCAGGAGGCATGGTGCAGGAGGCATGGTGCAGGAGGCATGGTGCAGGAGGCATGGTGCAGGAGGCATGGTGCAGGAGGCATGCATCTGTTTAACAATCTCAAGGGGACACCGCTACAAGGAATCACAAACTCCTTTTCTCTCTTTCTCCCTCCAAACGCAAGTCGTTGACCAGAAGGTGTTTGTTTCATGTCGAGTGTAGCGCCTAGCACCCCAGGCTATCGCCTCATGTGCACGAAGCCTTTGCAGGGTGAGCTGTAGTAAAAGGTGTACGCTACATGGGGTCCGTGCATGGGCCTTTGCACGGGCGTCTGCACATGCATATGGGGTCCGCGGCCCACCTCGTGTGTATAAAGCCGTGGTAGAGCAAGCCGTCCGCTATATAGGTTCCACACATGAGCATTCGCACAGGCATTTGCACATGCATATGGGCTCTGTGGCTCACCTCGTGTGTATAAAGCCGTTGTAGAGCGAGCCATAGAATATGGCGTCCTGGTCCGCTATATAAGGTCCGCGCACATGCCTCTGCAAGAGCTGGTCGAACCCACTCCCCACGCTGTCATTGAAAGGGCTCGGCCCTTTTTGGGGAGTGGCATAGAAGCCGTGGACGCCCTTTTGGGGGCAGATACGGCCGCACCAGGGGCATACAGGCAGACAAATGCCACATAGGTTGGTTTGAAGAGTGAAATGGGGTGGGCTGGGCACACAGAGGCGCGCATGAAAAGACAGTACAATCTAGTACAATTTAGTACAATTTAGTACAATTTAGTACAAGACAGAACAAGACAGAACAAGACAGAACAAGACAGAACAAGACAGAACAAGACAGAACAAGACAGAACAAGGCATTCCTGGTACAGAGCATGCATGGTGTTGAGTGGCTACTGCCTTGCCTTCATGTCGACCTTCTTAGAGTCAACAAAGGCAGCACGTGATTATGCGCGGAGGAAGACCTGCAGGAAGCCGAAGAAAAAGCGGATCTCTGAGTCGCCTGCCGTAGGAGGGTTTGAGAAATGGGGGGGTGACAAAGGAGGGGGTTCAAACAGAACTGCACAGGCAGCACATGGCATTACATGTGGAGGAAGACCTGGAGGAAGCCAAAGCAAAAGCGGATCTCTGAGTCGCCTGCCATACACGCATGCACAGAAGACAGGTGGGGAGGGGGTTCAAGAAGAGCACAGGCAGCACATGGCATACCCACCAGCAGCACATGGCATACCCACCAGCAGCACATGGCATACCCACCAGCAGCACATGGCATACCCACCAGCAGCACATGGCATACCCACCAGCAGCACATGGCATACCCACGAGCACCCCCTACCCATCAACAGCACCCACGTACCCATGAGCAGCATGCCCTATGCACCCATGAGCAGCACGCCCCACCCACCCATGAGCAGCACGCCCCACCCACCCATGAACAGCACGCCCCACCCACCCATGAACAGCACGCCCCACCCACCCATGAACAGCACGCCCCACCCACCCATGAACAGCACGCCCCACCCACCCATGAACAGCATGCCCCACCCACCCATGAACAGCACGCCCCACCCACCCATGAACAGCACGCCCCACCCACCCATGAACAGCACGCCCCACCCACCCATGAACAAGATGCGCTGCTTGCGGTGGAAGCACTGGAGGGCATCGGCGGGCTGTACGGTCTTGAGGCGGCATGCGTGGGGGCGCCACTGCTGGTCCTTCCAGTAGCCCTCGTTGCCGGAGGAGAGCAGCAGGGCAGGCGTGCACCAAGGGAGGCTCTCTCTGCGCAGCAAGGAGACGGTTGGTGGAAGGAAGGGAGGGTTTGCCTCGACTTGACTGACTGATCTTGGTATTGGTTTGGTTTTGGTTTGGCTCTTGTTTGGTTTTGATAAAGGTTACTGCATGTCTACAACATTCTGCCTGCATGTCTACGGCCACTCGCTCTCCATTCTCCTCCCCAGTCTACTCTACTCTGAAGAGCGTGTTTCTTACTCCACCTTCTTGCCTTTAATCGAGAGATGAGATGAGCCATCACACTTACCTAAGCGCGTCTGGGAAGTACTGCAGGGGGCTGGAGACCTGCACCTTGTGAAGGGCCACGGGCCGATAGCTTCACGGGTGAGCGGTGATGTGATGCCGGGTCATGCACGGGCGGGGAAACATGAGGGTAGGCAATGTGTTGGTTGGTCGTTGTGAGGGGTGTGTGAGGGGATTGATGGTAGATTGATGGGAGATTTATGAGATAATGCTGGCTAATTCTGGGAGCTTTGGGTTAGAGGAAGAAAGGATTTACGGGTTAGAGGTTTTATGGGAGGATTATTTGAGTTAGAGGAAGGCATGGTGGTGTTGTGCGTGCACATGCATGCGAAGATGTGTGTTGAGTGTGCGAGTACATGCATGCTGGCAAAGATAGAAGTATTAGCAGAGGCATCACAATGGAAACATGCACACATGCTCACACGCAGATATGCATGCATACATGCACACATGCTCACAGGCAGACATGCCTGCATGCATGCACACACATGCTCACACGCAGACATGCATGCGTGCTTGCACACACATACACACACACGCGCGCGCGCGGACACGAGCAGGGTTAACTGTTTTTGGGTTTCGGGTTCAGTGCCACTGTTGGCTGTGCATCGCCGCCCATGCAGGACCTACTTTTGGAAGCCTTTGTTGTAGAACCTGCTGAGAGCAGTGCGCAGCTGACACGCGTTGGTGAAGAGCAGATGCAGCGAGAGCACGTAGGGCCCAGGGACGGGCGCTGTGAAGCACACCTGGAGACACGTGGATCGCATAGGATTGCATCGCATGCATGGGAATGCGGAGGAATGCGGTGGAATGCAGTGGAAGGCAGTGGAATGACCGTGCATCAATACAAAATACCATTTTGCAGCTAGAGCTTCCGTAGTGTGCTAGCCTGTGGGTACATGTTTACCTCTTTGTACCCAGGATGTCTAGATACAACGACCGTTGAGAGAGAGAGAGAGAGAGAGAGAGAGAGAGAGAGAGAGAGAGAGAGAGAGAGAGAGAGAGAGAGAGAGAGAGAGAGAGAGAGAGACAGAGAGAGAGAGAGAGAGAGAGAGAGAGAGAGAGAGAGAGAGAGAGAGAGAGAGCCAAACCTGACCCATAAATCCAAACCTCGTGTGAGGAGGAGGCGGGATGGTACTTGACTTGAGCTGCCAGTCTTAAGTCAGTCCACCCGTTCAGAGCATCATCCCATGCAGGCGCCTCTGTCACTCTCGCCGTTCTCCTGGAATCTCTCCACCTCCTCTCCGCGTTCTCCCCACCCACGCCGCTGTCGCTGCTGCTCCCACTGGTGCTGCTGTTGCCACCGCGGCTACTGGCACTGCTGCTGCTGCCGCTGATGGTGCTGGTGGTGTTGGTATTGGTCATGGTGGAGGTGGCGGAGGGGGGTGACTCGGTCGAGAGAGAGGAGGCAGCACTGGGTGGTTCTGAGGAGCGGTTGGCGAGGGTGTCAAAGGCGAGTAGCGCCACGAAGAACGCCCGCTGCCTGCAGCAGAAAGCAGAGGGCCGATGGAGTGGAGAGGAGCGATGGAGTGGAGAGGGGCAATGGAGTGGAGAGGGGCAATGGAGTGGAGAGGGGCGATGGAGTGAAGAGGGGCGATGGAGTGGAGATGGGCGATGGAGTGGAGAGGGGCGATGGAGTGGAGAGGGGCGATGGAGTGGAGATGGGCGATTGATTTAAAGGTCGAAATGAAATAAAGGGGCTGTGGAGTGGAATGGGTGATTGAGTGCACGAGGTTGAGGAGGCGGAGGGAGATGGAGTGCGCATGGCAAGGGAATATGGTATGGAGTAGCATGGCATGGCATGAGGGGGAAAGAGGGAGGGAGAGGAGCGGGAGAGAGGGAGGTGCGTTGGACACAGCACCTGCAACCAACGTCAAAAAAGGACTTGCCAGAAAGCTGCGGGAAAGTTGCAAAAAGGATACTTTTTGGATACCTTGGTTTTGCAACTTTCCAATGATGGTCAAATGTTGCAGAAATCGTGGTTGCGGGAAAGTTGCGAAAATGTTGCATTCCTGCAAGTTTCCCGCAACACAACCGCAACTTATCGGACAATCTTTGGACACGTTGTGTATACATTTCAGTCACATGTATGCAGTTTCACCACCTGCCACGTGGCATGCGTACAGTTTCGACTTCGAAGTGAACGTACGCCGGTACGTTCGCGAAGATATTTTGCCACGTCAGCTACGATATTTCTGCCACGTGTCATTCGCGATATGTGGACTCAGGCGTGACACTTGGACCAATCAAACAAGCTGTGCGAACGTGGGAAAATTGATTTTAACAGGCCGCCGAATTGTCTGAAATCGGAGCATGCGTTTTAGTTACAGGTGTGTTTAAAAATATTCAGTTTATACACTATATGTATTCTCTTGCACATTTGCATGCATACTTATCAGCATACACAGAGCACGATCTAGGTGAAAAACCAACACAGCTAATGCAACGACTACAGATCTTCAGGTCTCAATGGCAGATGAATATAGGGCGAAATCACGCTTCGTTTGCGGGCCTGCAAACAGAGATACGACATAGTGTTAGACATGGGTTAGTAGACAGTAATTGTTCCCTACCTCACTGACCTACCGCCCGCGGGCCTTGAATTGAACTGATAACATTGCCATGAACAAGATTGACAATGTCATAATAGGTAGTTAATTAGTAGAAGGCATTAGGGTTTACACTAGAGAGGAAAGTATCAAGATAGTTGCCAAGGCAAAAGGATGGTTTCACTATAGGCTCAAGGGTACAAATATGAAAGAAGAGAAGGAAGGTGCACCACCTAACAAGCAAGATAACTACACTAAGTCTACACTGCAGGCAGTTATAAAGTAATGTATACAATTACATTCTAACACACCCCCTAACTGCCTGCAGTGAAGAACCATGTGCAGAAACACCCCCGGAAGGGGTACACCAAGCAGAGCGCAGCAGACGGAGAGGGAAAGTGAGGAGGAGGAGGGACTAGGAGAGGAGAGGAGGTGGTGGGCGGCAGCTGAAGCTGCTGGCACACGGCGCAACTGGAGCAACTGGCACACGGGCAACTGGAGCAACTGGCACACTGGCAACTGGAGCAACTGGCACACGAGCAACTTGAGCAACTGACTCCGCGGCTAGACGAGCGGCAGGAGTAACTGACTCACTGGCGACTGGAGCAACGGGCTCACGGGCGACTGGAGCGACGGGCTCACGGGCGACTGGCGCAACGGTCTCACGGGCGACTGGAGCTGCTGACTTCACAGCGGCCACCCCCTTTCAACCTCCCCCATTGTCCCAAAACTCCCGTTCACACCCCTCGGCATCCCTAGCGCCGCTCCCTCGTCTCCCCCACACCCTCCCCCCCCCTCGGCGGTAGCTGCAGCAGTGGGAGAGAGAGGAGGAGGGGCGGCAGCAGATCACTCACACCCGCCACCCCCATACCCTCCCCCCCACTGCTGCACGCGCAGCAGGGGGATGGAGGAGAAGGGGGGGCGGGGGGGGGCGGGGTAGAAGCTGCGCGGGCTACAGCAGGGGTAGTGCAGGCGCGCGCGCAGCAGGGCAGGTGCGCGCGGGCCTGGCGCAGGCTGTACGGGCCGTGCGCGGCCCTGGCGCAGGCTGTACGGGCCGCGCGCGGCCCTGGCGCAGGCTGTACGGGCCGTGCGCGGCCCTGGCGCGGGCTGCACAGGCAGCGCGTGGGTTGTACGGGCCGTGCGCGGCAGGGCAGAAGCCGTCGCGCGAAATCGCTGCACGCCCGAGGCGCACGACGAGCAGAAAATCGACGCGCGCCCGGGGCGCGCGGCGGGCAGAAAACCGACGCGTGCCCCGGGCGTGCGACGGGCAGCAGAGAGGCCCATGAGCGGAAGCGTAGTGGTGGGCCCTATGAGACAGGTCCTAGGAGAAACCTCTTTCTGATAGCATGTCACAATAGGTAGTTAATTAGTAGAAGGCATTAGGCTTTACACTAGAGAGGAAAGTATCGAGATAGTTGCCAAGGCAAAAGGATGGTTTCACTATAGGCTCAAGGGTACAAATATGAAAGAAGAGAAGGAAGGTGCACCACCTAACAAGCAAGATAACTACACTAAGTCTACAGTGCAGGCAGTTATAAAGTAATGTATACAATTACATTCTAACAGACAACTCTGCGAAATCCCTGCGAAAAAAAAAAAAAAAAAAATGTATATATATCTCGTGGCAGCCACTGACTCTGCAACGGTCTTGGTACCACACAGGAGAAGACAGCTAAACGTTAGCGTTAGAGGCTGGATGATATATAACTCGATACGAGCATGGGGAAGAAGCCACGACGATTTAAGAGATTTGCAAGCGGAGGCAAAGCGAGACCGAAGGCCTTCCCGCATGCAGAGAGCGTGCCGACGATCTGTGTATTGGGTGGATATGAAGCGGGAACATCAATGTAACTGATTAAAGTGGCACGGTGCAGCGCAGTTCAATACAAGAGAAAATGTATCTGCATTCATTGCGGGAAGAACGAGAGGAAAACGAGAACTGAAGAAGCCTAACAAGTGCGAATAAAGGACAAGTGAGGATCACAACAGGAGTGAGGAGAATCGTTTGTAAGAAAAATCACGCTTTCAGCGCATAACACGGCGCTTCCGCTGCCGGGCAACGCGCTTTACGGCGCACCGTTCGTAGGTAGACGGGTGCTGAGTCCGCGG